GGTAGGGTAGGACAATTTCTATCCTAATACGTAAGGCTCCGTAAGGCTTAGAATCACTGGGAGCACACAATCGTGTTGAGTAGGAAGAGACTGAATTGAGAAATGAGAAGAATGAATAGTTTACCATCGCCCCTGTTGTTATCTTTGACTAATGACTAATGACCATAAGATATCGACAGACAATACACATTTGTTTATTAAAGGAGCTTCTTTTCACAACAACGTTGAAGGTTTCGTTAGTTGGCTAAAGTGTGTTAAGGTAATTATGTACTGTGCGCGCTTGTATGAAATTTCATTCCCCTAACTTGACTACGGGATCTATTGGCATACTTTCACTGAATAATGTCACTGATTGATCTAAGGGTATTGTAGGATAAAAAGTAATATTTTCCTTAAAGAACAACATTCCATGGCTGAACGTCACATTCAATAATAACGACACAACGAGTCCAAAAAGTTCAGTGCAATCTAACGCAGCCCCACACTAATGAGCCTGTTACTCATATGGTTATGACCATTGGTGTTGAATGCCACGCCCCTGTAACTCGAGGCTGTACGGAAGTACGGCGAGGATGTATCGCCACACCAATTGTTACACACCTTGTAACAATTACTCGTGTAACCAGACACGAAGAAGCCACTGAGAAAAGAATGATCACAGATCAGCAGCTGGTAGGAATAACTGTTGCTTGTATCCACACCGTCCCACAATCCATAGGTACTAGCGGTCTTCCCATAGTTCCCAGCGGCGGTTATAGACTGGCTGAATTTTCGCCTGAAGTAGGCCTTGTTTCCAGTCTGGTGATCGATGAAGATGATCTCTGTGAACTTGAATGAACGAAAATGGAAAACTAATAAGACTACAAAACCTAAATGTTGAGAGGATCACTGAGGTCAGGTTTTTGGGGAAACTGTCCACGATTGATCGTGATAGTCTCGTCCCCAGTCCATCTAGATATTTTAAAAGTGGATCAGTCATTATTAAAGCTTGAAAATGTAAACCCAAAAAAGCACTGCAGCAAGGCATAGTCAATCATCATACTTGTGATATTCTTACATTTAACTTTAAAATATACAGTTTTGTAAATGAAGTAAATCACAACCCTAATCCGCGTCGCGTTTCAACCCAGTTTTCTGTCGTGCGCTGTTTTTTTGCGCTGCGTCCCAACTAACTGGACGCCGCCTGGGAGAGGCTGAGGACTGGTACTAGAGAGGACTTAGAAATCGACTCACCGGGATGTTGTTACAGTTGGTCCTGTAGCCGTCACTTCCATAAGGAAACTGAGCGCTGTAGGTGACTTCAGTCTTGGGTTTGACATATTTATCAGTAGTGTAACACATGGTCCATCCTCCATTGTATGACGTCATGTCACAGTAGGCCTGGAATGCATTT